ACGGGCGGGGCCGCCAGGCTTCGAGCCCCAAGAGGCCCTCGCAAATCGATCCGGCTCGGACAATGACGCAGGAAGATAGGGGTGCGGGGCTCCGGTCGTGATGTTTGCGCTGATGCATTCCTTCTGCAGCTTCGGATCGGAGGGGACAAGGGGGGCATGGGGGTGAGGCGGCCATGGCTTTGGGTGTGTCCGCTCAGCGAGATAGGCACAAGCATATGCGTGTATGATCCGGCCGAGGGAGGGAGGCCAGCCGCGCGCGCGCTTCTACCTGTAGGCAGATGGCTGCGCAACGTTTCTGAGTCAATGGATACCAGCCCTGCGAGCGGCACGGTCAGCCTAAACGATGCAACGAGGCGATGGGAGCGTTGGTAATGACTGAAGAGGCTGGTCCATAGAAGGCCGAGAGAGGCGAAGAATATCATAACCCCTTTGCATCAGTACCTTCTTCTCTTGATGGTGCTTCGAAAATGTCGTCCTCTAGGCCTCTCGTAGGATGCGCTCTGAGATGTATGTTGCTCCCATCGTACTTCAAGACCACATCCCAGAAATAATTTCGAGCACCCGGAAAAGTGCCGAAAAAGTGTCGAAACAGTGTCGGACGAGTGTCTCCCAGGGCCCGACACGCGAAAATCCATGAATTTCGGTATTTTGTTGGCGCTCGAAATTCTTTCTGGTGGTCAAGGCTAAAATAGGTTGGAACATCATAATCTGAGACACGGATTCCGAAGGGACTTCCGCCGTGGCGACAGGGACCCTCACAAAGTTCTGGCAAATCCCCGAAACCCTCGGCAACCACGTCCCTCGATGCCCACCGATCCCCATGGCGTCGAAGGAGTCTAGTCGTGACGACGAAGGGCTTCCCAGAGGCCGGGGAGGGCCCTCAGAGTGTCCGAACTTCGATGCTTGAGGCTCGAGCCTCTCTCTCTATGTGGCGAGGGGGAGGGAGAGAAGCAAGACGGAGCACGCGACAGGCGCGACAGCGAGGAGGGGAGGGGCGGAGGGGAAGCGGGAGGAGGGACAGGAGGAGGAGGAGGAGGAGGAGGAGGAGGAGGAGGAGAAGGAGGAGGAGGGGGAGGGGGAGGAGGAGGAGGAGGAGGATCGATCGATCGATCGAGCTCTCGGGCCAGTTCGGTGCTACACTCTCTCGGGGTTAGTGCGGCATTACAAAATCTGGTGGCCTAGCTGAGATCACTTTGCTGAAAGGGGGTCGCTGGCATCACCTAGATGCTCGGGCCCTACCTGCACCGACCTACCCCACGCAAAGGGTCCGCGGGCAGGGTAGCACCCGCTTTTACGAATGCCCTCTCGCTGGTTCCTCTACTCCCCTGCCCTGGCCTCCTCTGCCCCTTCCCTTTCGCTTCGGTTCGGGGGTGGGGGGGTGGGGGAGGTCGGTGCACAACAAAATGCTCGGGAAAGCTCGGGCCTCGGAGTCGGAAAAGGTCAGGAGTCTCAGACGACGTAGGAGGGGGGGGCGGCCTTCCCTTACCAGCATGCTGAAACGTTCACTGCCTCTGAACGCCTTCGGGATTGCCTGGGCTACGGCGCTGGCTGGCACAGAACAGAGCTGCACGGTTCGCTCATGGCCTTCTGCCTCACGAGTCGGGTCGCTCATCCGTTGATCAGGCGCCCTAGCTCCCGCTCCAGCGCTCCCCTCGGTGCCGATCCGATTTTGCGGACTGCTCCTTCCTTGCGTAGTACCCGCGCGAGGATAGCCTCCAGCTGCGGGTTCGTAGACTTCACCTGGAACTGGAAAGTGCACTTCTCGTTCGCGCCGCACTCCTTGCCTTTGTTCTTGCGCACCCTGAAGATCGGGATGCTGTCGGCCACGGTCTCCGCGTTGCCATTCAAGATGGCGTCCTGGTAGTGCTTCTCCAAGTAGTCGCGCTCCGCGCCCGACTCCAAGGCGCGGCCCATGTAGTTCACCACCTCGGTCCACGCGCGGATGCGGGGGCTGCCCAGCGATGCCGTGTCCACTTGTTCTCCTTCGCCTGCTCTGCGGCGTAGCTCCTGCGCCGCTTCGTTGTAGGACTGGCCTGCTGTCAGGCCTGCCTGCGCGATGTCGCTCTGAGTGCTGAGCTCCCACGTCTGGAGGATGGCCGCCGCCAACTCGGCTTGTTCGCGCGCCAGCGTCAGGGCGAGGCGCGCTGCGATGTCGACCACCTGCAGGTTGGGCGCCGCCGCTGCTCCTCCTGGTCCTCCTGCTGGTGCTCCTCCCGCGGGGCGTCTCGGCTGGCGACTGCGGTCGGGGCGCGTCGGTCCTCCTGCCGGGGCCGCTGGCGCCCATGATGGGCGCTGGTCAAAGAGCGCCATCCCGTGCTCGTGGTCGGAGTAGCTGTCTTGGCAAGTGAGAGCACAGGTGCGAAAAGAACGTGCCCTTGTCTAAGAAGAGATGGCTGCAGAGAGGGCATTTCGCACTGGGTTTCGTCGGCCGGCATTGATTTCGTGTCCTAACTGAATTGCAGCTTCCTGTAATCAAACTTCTCGCTCCTCGGCTAGTGAAACACTGGTGGCAGTTGATGCACTCGTTGTTAGTAGTCAGCAGAGCGGCTAGATTGCGTACATGATGATTTCGGATGATGCGGCTGTGCAACGCCTTCTTGCTGGCGAACAGGAGTCCGCAATCCCCAAAACTGCCCCCGAGAGAGCATTTCCACGGCTGGAGGCACTGGAGGGCCAAATCTTCTCTGAGCTCGTCGTTTGGGGCCTGTCCTGGTGGAGGGATTGCTACTGTCAGTTTAGCCGCTCTGACCTCCCGAACGTCTAGTAGGTGTAGTTGCTCTCTGACTTCGAGTGTGAACATCTTACCTATCTTGACCTCCTCCTCCCCGAAGATGGATCTGAAGTTCTCCGGGACTTGGCAGGCTTTCGTGACGTCCTCCTCGATTCGTCGGGCCCAGGGGTTCGTATACGTCGTCAGCTCGTTCGCGCCCTCGTCGGCGTTCGTCTCGAAATCGAGGCGCCCGAACAGGGCGACGATAAGTTGGCGGTGATTGTTCGGAAATCTGAGGATGTTTTTGGTCCAGCCAAGCCTTCGGACCAGGGCTTCCTCCGCTGGCGGCAGGATCTGCCAGTAGCGGAAAACCTCCAGCGTGGTCATGCTGCGCACGGCGCCGCCCTCGTAATGTGTGCTCGCCTTGCCCGCCATCGCTCTCCTCAGCATGCCCCCATTGCGCTCTGTAGTATATGCTACTCGTTGGGCGTTGGCAGGTAGCACTCGATGCAGGAGAGTCCCGCGTTGATGACCCTGCATATGAGGACGGCGCGCTTCCACCTATACGGTATCTCACGCTTGGTCCAGAACTTGCCGCACTCGTCGTAACTCTTCTTCATAGCCTGGATGCGTTTCTGCAGCTCGGGGTAATACTGCTGTGTCGCGGTGATCTGCGGGCCCAGGTACCTCGCTGCCGACGCCACCTTGCCAGGGAGCTTGCGCCGCGGGTCCTGCTTGAGTCGTTGATGTGCCTAGCTGGCACCCGAGCCCCGGAAGTAAACGACCGTCTCCTGCTTGTCTTGGTTCTGCTTGAGGCCGATCTCGGTGAGGCGTACGTTCAGGGTGTCGTCTATCTTGCGAGCCTGATCAACGAGGACGCGAGCGTCTGCTTGCGTCCGCTCAGGATGAGTTTGCGTACGTCGTCCGCATACTTGGTCAGACCAACGTAGACGGGGTGCTGGAATAGTTCGCTCGTGCCGTATAGTAGCTTGTCGTTCGTGGTCTCCTCGTTGCAGTCCTTAGTCCAGCGCTGAATGCAGGGCGCGAAGCTGGCCACGAGGTTGCGTGCCATGTACGGGTCGCCAGTGAGGCCTCCGCAGTGTGGCTTGATGCACACGCCGGATCGTAATATTGCATGGCCTGCTCCACTTGCTCGATGAACTCTTCTCGGTGAAGTCCGTGTCGCACTGCGTGGGCCAAGCTATCCTTGTCCCACTTGGGTGGCTGTGGTCGGTGTTGTACCCGTTGTCGTAGTGGTAGGCGAAACGTCACGTGAACTGGGACATGATCCCGTCGTGCTCGGCATCGTATATGTTGAAGGCGCGCTCCCATGTGTAGCAGGGGTCCTTGTGAGATCATCGTTTCTCTCATGCTCTGCGGTATCATGATGTAGTCAATGCAGCTGGCGTGCTTCTCGCCGAAGTATGTGGGCCTCCAACTACCAATGGTGCTCACTATGCTGAGCTGGTGGCGATCCGCGTAGTTTCGGGTTCTCTGTCCAGCGCCTCCTGGTAGTCGTTCTGGTGATCGTCCTTCGCCGAGTGTTGCCGTCTCTGGTCGGTCGCCCTTGTTTGTGATGCCCACTCCGTCGTTGAGGTCGCCTTCCACTATGAGCATCGTGTTGCGGTTCTTCTGTTGGCTCACGTCTTCTATACATGCGAACAGGCGGCAAGTCGTCGCGTAGTAGTCCTTTCGCGTTGTCTTGCCCTTGATGGGCTGCGGGGGGCTGTAGTATCCGATGATCAGTATGGTCTGGTCATGGTGCTGCAGGGTGATCGCTAGTCCACGTCCGCTGAGTTCCTGTGGTGGCTCATGTAGTTATGTCACCTTGGCGCCTCGAGGTCGACCCTGGAGCGCTATGATGATGCCCGTGCTGCGGTTGGTCAGGTCGCCTGGCTGCCAGCCCGCCTCGTAGTAGCGGGTGTCGGCGCAACGGTGCTGCGTGATGGTGGGGTCACGTGTTTTGCGGGAGATCCCCGTCAGCACGATAATGTCGAAGTTGTGAGCCTCCTCGTATATCTCCGCCAATCTGTCGGGCTTTGCCGAGAGCGGGTTGAAGAGAAGCAATGCGAGATATGCTGTTAGTGCCGCCATCATGCGGGTCGCCGCCCCTTCTGTCAGCTCGAACTGAGGAATGGCATGGTGGCGGTCTGGGCTGCCCTGACAATCTCTTAGGCCCAGATGGCAGCTGGAGGAGGAGGAGGAGGAGGAGGAGGAGGAGGAGGAGGAGGAGGAAGAACAAACTGATAACAAGCACTGGAAAACTGACGCCAGACGCGCCAGGCGCGGCAACGAGGCTCTCGGAATGCGCCTTCACCTTGTCGATCGCCTTCTGCCGCGTTTCCTCGGGACACCGCGCTCCCGCACATCTTTGGCCGCCGCTGCCTGGTCCAACGCTCCTCCCCTTGATCCGGAGCTCCTCGTCCTCCGCTTCCGCCTAAGATGCACATGTTTTTCTTCCTCCTCCTCTTCCTCCTCTTCCTCTAAGAGGATTTGCGCACGCACTGTAGGGCGTCACGTGTTGGGGCAGACGTGCTCACGCCGTGTTGGGCGTTTCGCTCTGCCGTTTGGACCTGCGGCACCTCTTCCTCCTCCTACTCCTCTCGCTGCGAAGCTCCTCCTGTCCCTCCTACGCTGATCCTCTTCCTCCTCCTCCCTCTGCATCCCCTTTCCTGATAAGTCATTCCTTGTATTTCGCACCACCAGCGTGTTCGTTGGTCGGGCATGACGTTTCGCTTGAGACTCCCTTGCGCCTCGTCTTCACAACAAACAACAACAGTCACAAGGATGGAAACAGTGGTTAAGAAAACGGATCTCGCGCTGTCACCGCGCCCGCTCAATTTCAACATCTCCATCAGTTGCAAGGATGGAGGCTAATTCAGCGGTTTTCAAAATGAAGCTCTCGCTTGAGAATTATCCACGCCATGCATAACCCTAATTTCCAAATTGCGCACCAGCTTTCCAAGCGGATGTTTTTAATCCAAACCTGTTCTGTCGCTTGAAACCCTCCACCGACGTTACGACCGAAGCCTTCCACTATGCCACGCGTACACGGATCGAAGGCAGATCCCCTGTCAAAACGGGGCTATCGCTGGACACTTCATCTGGATCTTTCTCATCGTGCCCCCAGGATCCTCGCCAGAACGGGTTCTCGCCTGAGTGGCAGGCGCGCCAGGCCAGCGTTGCTCCAAGGGGCGCGCTTCCCGCAGTAGAAGAGAATACCTGTCAAGACTTGAGCAGGAAACGCTGGAAAGGAGGGTGTATCACAGCATCGCCTACGCATCGTGGCTTTACTCTCGTCCAACTCCTCCTGCTCCTCTCGCTGCAAAGCTCCCTCTCCTTTTCCGCGTCCTTCTTTTCCTCCTCCTCCTCCTCCTCCTCCTCCTCCTCCTCCTCTGCCTCCTCCTCCTGCTCCCCTCCTACTCCTACTCATCATATTCGTCTCGTCGCCCTGCAGACTGTCATCATCTAACATGTGTTGCCGTGTCCGACAGCGCGTGGCTGCTTCCCCCGTTCTCCCCCACCCTCCCAGCAGAACTCGGCGGGCGCCATGATGCAGCAAGAGAGAAGAGACGATGCGAGAGATCGACCAACAAGTGCGCCACGCTCGAACGTAACAGTACACATATATACATATGTCGGTCTGTCTGTCTGTCTGTCTGCCTGCCTGCCTGTCTGTCTGTCTTTCTGTCTGTCTGTCTGTCTGTCTGTCTGTCTGTCTGTCTGTCTGTCTGTCTGTCTGTCTGTCTGTCTGTCTGTCTGTCTGTCTGTCTGTATGTATGTATGTATGTATGTATGTATGTATGTATGTATGTGTGTGTATGTATGTATATATGTCTGTCTGTCTGTCTGTCTGTCTGTCTGTCTGTCTGTCTGTCTGTCTGTATGTATGTATGTATGTATGTATGGAGAGAGGGGCACAGTGAGGTAAAAGGGATGGTAATCAATGTGTATATAAACATATGTACACATATACATACACACTCCTTCCAATTCATATATTCTTTATAAGGCTGGGGACGCCGGAAAAAAGCTCCCCCCCCGCCCCCCAACGAATTTGGCCCTCCACGGGCCTCCGGGCAACCCCTCAGACGACACGGAAGAACCTCACGAGAGCCTGAAGACGGCCCCACACAGGTTCCAGGCATTCCGGCGCGCTCCAGAAACGACCCCTGAGTCCACGACTACCCCCAAGAAGCCGTCATACCCCCAAGGATCGATCCAAAACGTCCCAAGAGGCATCCAAGAGCACTCGCAAGAAGGCCCCAAGAGGTAAACATCATTGATTTTCTGCTGGTTTTTGGTGAATTTGGGGGTTCTCCTCTTTTCGGCTTCCCGACGCTCCAAGACGGCGGTCTTCTGGGCGTCCGAAGCCACCTGGGCGGCAACAATATCGTCGCACAACCATCCGAGGGGGTTTCCAGGCAGTCCAAGAGAGCCCCAAAACGGCACAACAGGGGCTCAAGATGACCCTAAGAGAGCCCCATGGCGGCCCAAGATGGCCCCAAGACGCCCTCCGAGGCATTCCAAATCGCGACCCGGTCGTTCAGGGAGACCGCGGTTGGAGGCAGGGTGGCCCGAGGAAGCCCCCAGAGGCCCCCAGAACACGCCGAGGAGGCCTCCAGAGGCCTAAAGAAAACTTGAAAAACTGTTGTGAAGCCCCCAGAGGCTCTCCAAGGAGGAGCCTTCGCAAAAAGAGCCGCGGAGGATGGGGAGAATGCGCAAGGTATGGCGAGAATGAAGGAGAATCGTGGAGGAAATATCGCGAAGAACATTATTATAACGGCAGTGCCGGAAAAGGCAACAAGGAGTCATCGCTAAATTGTCGGCTTGGCCTTCCTGCCATTCCGCCTGCATACCAAACTTCAAGGACCAGGGTGCATGGCGCGAAACGCCATTGCAGTCTTGTATATATACATAAATATAGACGGTGTTTGCACATGCGATACATACACATACACGCGTATACAATGCATTGCCTATATATATACATATATACAAATATATACACATACATATACTAGAACCACGCGCGCGCTTCGCGCGCGCTTAGGTTCCAGCGAGCCCCAGTTGTAGTCTAAATTGTTCGGCATCGGAGGACATTGATTGTCACAAGGATCGTGCACCTCAGGGGGGTCCACCTGCGGCCCATCAGACAAGCTTGGGTCCCCAAGACCATGCTGGCACACCCTTCACAGGCATCGCGTCCCACATGGAGACCCACGTGATTCCATCCCCAGAGAGCACGCCCCTCACGAAGACCGCGCCCTGCAACTAAATGCATCTGCGGCACCAGAAGGGAGCTTCATAATATCGGCCCGAGGCCGCCGCTCCCCCGAACGCCTCGGCGTCGCCGAAGGCCAAGGCTGCTCCGCCCTCCGGTGCTGCGCAACGCCCTGAGAAGGTTCCGGGGCGCCGCGATCGTCCCAACGTGTGGGCGGATCTGTTCAAGAGCTCGACAGGCCAGACTTCGTCCCCTCCTCCACCCCAAGAGCCCCCCCGGTCGATCTTGTGGGAGCCCGCGTGGAGCGGCGCGACGGTGTTTCCCGCCTCCCGCGTGGCCGGCGTTCACCCCGATGTCCCACTCGTCGTTCATGCCTGTACGGCTGATGAGCTCAAGAATGCTCAGAGTTGGTTGCATGCGGGCCCCCGCAAGGCCAGTACCACTTTCGTTCGCCTGCATCGTGAGGGTGCGGCTAAGGTTCTTATCCGCGGTCGGTTTGGCCCCGTGGTGGCCCAGGCCACAGTGGTGCCCGTCGCTTCTTCGAGTGGGGCCGAGGCCCCCACGTGCTCGGTTGCTCAGCCTAAGGCGAATGACGACACAGCGTCCCCGTCTACCGAGGCCCTCGCCATGGTCCGCCTCACGGTTGCCCGTGAGTTTGCCGAGGGGGCCCTCTGGACCAAGGTTTCGGCCTCCCCCTCTGTCCTAGCGTCGGCCACGCTTTCGGCCGAGGCCCGCGGCGCGGTCATTAAGACAGCCTCCGTGCAGCGGAACTCCGACGAGACTACCACCCTCCTGTCCATCAAGCGGTCTGGCCTCAGCGCGCTTCTTGCGGCTCCCCTGCCTCTGGGGGTGTTCGTGTCCCCCCCCCCCCGGGACAAGTCTGAAAGCCGGATCCTTAGTTGGGTCTCTCGTAAACCCCGGTTGGCCTCTGAACCCCAAGGGCCGATAGAATACTTCGACGCCGCGGCGGCGGCTGCCAAGGACGCGGGCGGCACCCCGGTCTACCGCCTGGGAGGTCACTCGAATCTCGGGATCCTGGGTCCTCCCCCTGATTCTGCCTCCTCCGGTACCTTGGTCGCACCTCGGTGGTACGTTTCATGCGTTCCGGCGTCTTGGACTCTCGACGACATCACCAAGTGGGTTTCCGAGCGAGGTGCCACCGATGTCCCCTCCGTTTCCAAGCGCGGCAAAACGGATGCGACTTTCCGGGCCTGGCCGCTTTCCGGCGAGACCGCGGCTTGGCGAGGGGGGGGGTTTTCTTCCGGCATCGCCGTGACCCCCGCTGAAGTCTCCAAGCAGCGCCGGAAGCCCGTCGAAGCCTCCGCGCCTGCTCGCTGAGGCGTCTTGGCCGAGAAGGCTCCCCCTACTAAGACGACCGACGGTCCTGCTCTCTCGGGGGCCCCGAAGGCCCCTGAGGCTTCCCAGAGGGCCCCGGCTGGTTCCCCCCCCTCGTCCGACTTTTTCGACGCGGTCGAATGCGGGGGGGAGGGGGATTGTATATACACGTCTCTCGCCCACGCGCTCAACCACTTAGGTGGCAAGAAGGACGTGGACCCCAAACTGCTGGCCGTTCGCGGCCCTCTGCAGGCGCAGCTGCGGGCTTGGACTGCGGCCGAATTGTGCAAGCAAGGCGGCCTGCACGGGCTTAGCGATATCCACATCAAGGCTCGGGCGGCTAAGGTGCTGACGCCCGGGGACTTCGGTGACGTGACGTGCCTGCGGGCGCTTTCCTCCCATCTCGGCCACACGCTGCGCGTCTGGGCCCTGGTAAATGGTTAGGACGTTTCGGTGTGGCGCCACATTGTCGTGCGCCCGACCAGGGCGGCGGCGGGACGCTCGAGCCCCGTCGCGCGGTTGAAGCTTCGTGATGAACATTCTCAATGGCTGCGGCCCAGGCCCGGGAAGAGCCCCCCACGGAGTCCTGCCTGAAAACCCTCGGCCTTACTAATAGTTAGCTGCAGTTGCAAGTAGGTTGTAACTGGGTTGTACTCTGAGTACCTCAATAGTTCTGGTCCCCCGGACTACAGGGGCCCCCCGGCTTTCAAGGGCCCCTCCCCCGGACTACAAGGGCCCCCCCCCCGGACTACAGGGACCCCCCCCCGGACTACCAGGACCCCCCC